GCATGTACCTCGATTGTAGTTTGTCCGCAGCCATGGTTGGGGTCGTGTGGGTGGCAACTACTCAATGTGTCTCTTTCACATCGATGTTTCTCTCTCTCTCTCTTCCTCCCTCTCCCTTCCAGCTCTATCTAAAGATAAATGCAAAAATGTCCTCGGGTGAGGATAAAAAAAAAGAGAATTAGAAAACCACCTAAACACTCAACAATATATTTTAATAAATAAAACTATAGAATGGAATACAATGCAACTATTAAATAGTGTGTATCACTGAAGCACTGTTTATACTAATAAAAAATTAGAATAACCGAAAAACCTATCAGCAAGGAACAGGTTATACAATTACGGCATAACACTCCATGGAATGCTATACTATCATTAAAAAGAATGAGGCAGCTCTTATGTTCTGACGTATTCTTATCTTTGCCTGAAATATCTTCTTCCCACAGAGACCCACCTGGCACTTGCTCAGATGACACTTTACCAGTCAGTGTCCCTGCCTCCTACACAGAGCACTGCCCCTTCTCCTCACCCTGCGGCTCTATTTTCAACCATCGGACACTCCACCTGCTTATTCCTCATCTGTCCTCCCCCAGAGGAAGCAGACCCGAGGGCACAGACTGCGTGTGGTCCATGCTGTGACCTCGGTGCACAGCGCTCACCAGATACAGGGCGGAGGCATGGCGGATGGATGAACGGATAGCAGATGGGTGGGTGGATAAATGGATGGATGGATAGGGAGAAATCTCAAAGATTCAAAAGCATTAACAGTTTGTCTATGTAGCTATCATATGTCTTTTAACAAGAAAAAAGTCACGTCTACATACGTGTTGACACGTATTTAGGACACTGATGGCCTCTGGGAAGGGAAACGAGAAGACACTGGGGGACCCTTCACTGCTGCACTCGCAGCCGAGCAGACTGGAGGCCAGCCAGTGGGGAAGCCAGCACAGCTGTGAGCACTGCAGGCTGATGAGGGAAAATGACGCAATGTATTCTTAAGTGGGGAAAAAAACAGGCTACAAAATAACAAATACAGGAATACATGAGATAGGAAGGTTTAGAAGGATTAACTTCTAACATTTTTAGTTCACAAGATTTTAGATGATTCTGCTGCTTGTTTTTTCCTGTATTTTCTGAGGTCTCTACATGAGGTGCTGTTGTTCCATAATTTCTGAGCTGCTCTCAGGCACACAGCACTTGTTTGGCCAAGTGTGACAGCGCCCACACTGGGTCCTAGGCTTGGAGACACCCCGCCTGCCTCTGGGATCCCCACTTCAAACCTAGGGCACTCCTCTCTGCTGTGACGCTCCGACCTCTTCCTGCCACTGGCTTCCCATTGTTTTCACTCTCCATCACCCCTTCAGCTCCTTTGTCTTTCTCTTCCTTTCTTACCCAGAAAAACCCTAATCCTAGTAAAATTTAAGTACTTGCTTACTCTGAATCTCACCCAAGTAGTGGCACACGTCCAGAAAAAAGCCAGCAATTGTGTTCACTGTACTTACTTCAGATTTTTTACCAAAATACCAAATGATCCTTCAAGCCTGCAATACAAGTCTAACCCCACTTTGCAGGTAAATTCTATTTTCCACACTCTGAGATTGTTTCTTTCTGCTCCTCTGTCTCCCACAATCCCTGGACTAGTGACCTTCCTCTCCCACACTTCTGACAGAAGCTGCGGTCACCAGAGAACCCTCCTCTCCCCACACCACTCTCATTCGCCCACCTCTCTGTGCCTCTGTTCCGGCTCCTGTTACCACACAGATGCATCCCTGCTCGTTTCCAAGGCTGATCCCTGCAGTTTGCCCTGGCCCCATCCCCCACTGCCTTTTCAAGTATTTTCTCAACAATTATCCCTTTTTGCTCTAACATTATCAACTTCTCCCTCAATATGAATTCACTACCACTAGTAAACAAATACACCTAATATCACAAAGTGTCTTACCTGTTGCCATCACAGCACCACTCTGTCCTCCTTGATCCTTTACGTCTCCTCAACCCGCTTTCCCTCTGCCATCACAGTCAAACAGCACTGTTCGCCCAGCCAGTGTGGCTCTGTGGACCGAATGTCGTCCCAGGGACTAAAAGGTCCTGGTTCGATTCCTGGTCAGGGCACATGCCCAGGTTGTGGGCTCGATCCCGAGTGGGGGCGTGCAGGAGGCAGCCGATCAATGTTTCCCTCTCATATTGATGTTTCATCTGTCTCTCTCTAAAAATTCAATAAAAACATTAAAAACAAAACAAAAAAACCCAGCACTGCTCAAGGTCCCCAGTGATGGACGTCCAAGACGTCCTCAAGACAATGGCAATTCTCGGTCCTCTCTGTCCCTGACCTCTCCGCAGCATCCGACGTGGCCGACAACCCTCTCCTGGAAGCAGCCCTCTCTCAGCTTCCCGAGATCACAATCCACTGGATTTCCCTTCAATTCATTGGCTCCTCCTTCTCCACAAACCCCTCTCTTCTCCACCTACACACTCCTTCCAGGTGATCTCACCTAGCCTGTGGCTTCAAAAGGAAAATAGATGCTGAAGATTCACAGTTATTATTTTCAGCTCTGTGCTTCAGACCGACTACTGACTTGACAGAGGAGAACTACAGAACTACCCCGCTCCGCCCACAGGCCCTCCCAGGAAGAGGTGCCGCCATCCACCTAGTAGCTCACATCAAAATCCCAAAAGTCACCCTTTTTTATTTATTTATTTATTTATTTATTTTTTTTATCCTCACCCGAGGACAATTTTCCATTTTTTGTTCAGGTAGAGTGGGAGGGAGAGAGAGGAACAGAGAGAGAGAGAGAGAGAAACATCGATGTGAAGGGACACATCAAGTGGCTGCCACCCGCACAACCGACCAGGGCCGGGGACAAACTGCAACCAAAGTACGTGCCCTTAGCGGGAACCGAACCCGGGTCTCTCAGGACCGCAGGCCGATGCTCTAACTGCTGAACCAAACTGGCCAGGGCCCAAAAGTCACCCTTAACCCTCCCTTCCCTTGTACTCCACAGTGAGTTCATCAGCCAGTTCTAAACAACTCACCTGCAGAACAGACTGAATTCAAATCACCTTTGACTGTCGTACCACCACACCCCTAGTCAGTCTCCCTTTCTCCGTCTTGGCTCAGCAGTCCACCCTCCCACCAATACCAAGAGCACCCTTGTAAAGGGGAAACTAGATCCCGTCACTCGATGTCCCCATTACATGTAGAGTGCTTGTCTGATGCGCCTTCCTCCACTCTCCCTTCACATCTTACCCTCTGGCTGTGCTGGCCTGCTTCCCACCCTGCCGCAGGACACGGCTGTACCCACCCGCGCGGCCTCAGCGGCTGCTCTTCTCTCTGCCCATCTTCGGATGTCCACCTCCGGGTCATCAATTAAATGTCTTAAATGCCACCAAGTCAGTAAGGCCTTCCCCAGAAGCAACCCCCATCAATCCCCACATCTTACTTCATCTTTCCCACAGAAGCTGTCAACATCTGAGACTCACTCATGGGCGGCGTGCAGGCTTACCACACACCTCCTCCCAGTGGAATGCACCTAAGTCCTCACTGGAAATTCTTGACAGGTTCTTGGAACTGTGCAAAGCAACACATAACAGAACCAATTCTGCACAAGCTAATCGGTATAACAAGAGGTGAATCCCTAAGGCATCTCATCAATGCTGTTACGAGATGACAATGAACAAACACAATAACATGCAAGGACCGGCTATAATTTCTTAAAGATGAAAAGCGATCTTGTTTATCACTTATTCCCAGCATAAAACTGGTGTCTGGAACATAGAAGGTACTGAATAAATATTTGTTAGCCAGCTAAATGACTACTTCACACCTGGAAACCTGGACTGCGGTGGCTTTTGACATTACATTTACTTTATTTTAACATTGTACTACCAGAAAAGGTTAAGAACCAGAAAACTATTACAGTCTGATTATAAAATGGCTTTTTAGACCTCTTACCTACTCTGTTGACTAAAACTCCTTAATATATATTAGGAAATTACCTAAAGGTCCACTAGCAGGAAGCTGACCACACGAGATGAGACAGCCTCGCAGTGGGTGGCCGCCTCACTGTCAGAGAGCGAAGGAGACCCGCAGAAACTAGCACGGAGCCTGCACGTGATCTGGCCAATGGAAAGCACCAGGTCACAGGACAACACACTCAGTGATGCTCGTGTCTGAATGTGTGGACATATTATCTGACTGGACATGCACAGGCACGAGTATTTCTTTAAGCAAATTCTACTAAAAGTGGTTACCTCTCCAAAATGTCATTTGTTATAAGAAAACCAAAGCCTGCCAGGAACCACTTCTGGTTTCAGTAACTCAGAGTTCACCAGTTTGTTGATCACTCTTGCAAAGGTTTTAAAAGTTCTAACTTTTAAAAAACACATTACCGCCCTGGCCAGTTTGGCTCAGCGGTTAGAGCGTCGGCCTGCGGTCCTGAGAGACCCGGGTTCGGTTCCCGCTAAGGGCATGTACCTTGGTTGCAGTTTGTCCCCGGCCCTGGTTGGTCGTGCGGGTGGCAGCCACTCGATGTGTCCCTTCACATCGATGTTTCTCTCTCTCTCTCTTCCTCTCTCTCCTTCCCGCTCTAGCTGAACAAAAAATGGAAAAATGTCCTCGGGTGAGGATTAAAAAAAAAAAACAAAATATTTATTCAGTACCTTCTATGTTCCAGACACCAGTTTTATGCTGGGAATAAGTGATAAACAAGATCGCTTTTCATCTTTTTTTTTTTTTTATCCTCACCTGAGGACATTTTTCCATTTTTTGTACAGACAGAGCGGGAGGGAGAGGAAGAGAGAGAGAGGGAAACATCGATGTGAAAGGGACACATCGAGTGGCTGCCACCCGCATGACCAACCAGGGCCGGGGACAAACTGCAACCGAAGTACATGCCCTTAGCGGGAACCGAACCCGGGTCTCTCCGGACCGCAGGTGGACGCTCTAACCGCTGAGCCAAACCGGCCAGGGCACATTACCTATTTTTTAAAGTGATGCATAATCTAGTAAGAAAAAAAGGTCGATGTCAGGTGTCTCAGGAGGACAGTCAGAACACAGAGTGTGGCCGACTTGCAGGTGTCTCATCTCATGTTCAATCCCCTCCTGCTCCTCCCTCTGCAAAGACTGGAAGTGTCGCTTTAACCATCGTAGGTGCAGGCTGGGGTGGGCACATGAGACATGTGACACAGGCTTGGTCAACAGGCAGGGGTACATTTTGGACAGGATTTTGTTTTCCTGAGGGACAGATAGAACCACCACTGCCTTTTCATCCTTATTTACATCTTCTACGTAGATATGACATCTGGACCACAACAGCCATCCTGTAACCATGAGGCAGCGAGAGCCAACCAACATGCAAAAAGATGCAAACAATCTGGGTATCTGTTGGCATCACTCAACAAATGAACCCTCCCTGTTACATAATAAAAGTAAACCTCTATTTGTTTAAGGTGTTTTGACTTAGCTTCTGTTACCTACAACCAAAGAAATTCTGAGCTGATGTTCCCAAGAATCAATTTAAAAAAGAAACTGAAATTAAAAGAACTCAAATTCTATGCAGAATTAGAAGATTATAACAAGTCAGAAATGTAAACTGTACACTAATTCTCTTGCTGTGCTATCTCTAGTTTGAATTTTTTAACATTCAGAGGAAACAGAAAAATGGCAAAATTATTGGTCAACATCAACTCCATAAAAAAGACTTCAGAATGAAACATTCATAATTTATACACACCATAAACATAAACTCACACAGTGAAACTGAAGTCCAATCAATGCTGGGGCTGTTCGGGACTAATGTTCATTGTTCTATAAATTTCTTTAAGTAATAACAGGGCCGTATCCTCAGATTCCCTATCAAAAAGAAAAGCACATTTATTGAAGAGACAATTCGCATAAAGCAATCTCTATGCATAAAGGTGAAAAGCGCAGCTTTTACTCTACTCATCTCCTCCTAAGAATGGCAATGACAACCGTGCGGTGTCACAGATGGACGGGTAGCTCTCACCTCCAAAAGCAGCTGCAATTCACCTTGGTGAGGGGGCATATGCAGGGAGGGCTTCTCTCAGTCCCTCCCACCACTCCTTTCTACTAAAGCCCTCCCTGCAGAAACAGTGCCCAAGCCTCAAGGCCTCGGGTCGAAGGCAGGTGACATGCTGCCATCTTGTGGAAATACTGACAATATACAGGAGGTCAAAGTAATGCTCCCTAACAAAGGATGAATCAGCAAGCCTCACTAAACTAAAATGCTCCGTGCGCTACCACCTGAAGGGCACCGGAGTGTTATCAATACTTACCAATAACACAAATGACTCTGAAGAGCGAAAAGATATTCATTAAAACTCTCTATCGGCTTTTCTTGAAGCACATAGTCAATCCAGCAGCCTCTGTTTAGCATTCCAATCTTTCATAAGTAGTCCTCATCCTTGGAAAAATCTGGACTTTCAACAATCTTTTCTGCTAGAATTTAAACCATTTCAATATCAAAGTCAATCACTTAATCATAATCCTTTACTTTAGCTAACTTTACCAGGCTCACTTTCTATTCCTCCAGAGCCAGGGGAAGAGGGGCTGGTTACCCCAGAGAGGAGGAAGAGCCAGGAAGCTGACAGAAGTTTTGAAGAAAAGGGGTGAGAGAGCATTGTACAAAGAAAGGAAATAGAATTAGAATCTGAAAAAGTCAAAACAGCTGCACAATGCCCTGACACCACAGTCAAGTCCATACAACACAGTTAAACATCAGCGCCAGGAAAGATCACTTCTCAGAGAGGGTCTTCCAAGTGCCTGAAGACAACGTGGTTCTCCAACTCTGATGCCCCACTCTGCCCTTACGAATCTCAGTGAAACTTTAACATTGCAGAGCAAAAAGTTCAGCAACTATGAGGCAGAAACCTAGTAAGAAAGGATGGCATGCATTTTGAAGTATAGTTTATCATAAAAGATTTTCTCTTATAGGAAGAGTCCCTACATTTTAACAAAAAAGACTGCAATGGAAAAGCAACATTAAATGACCTAAGGGTGACATTCACCAGTAACACTTGGAAAAGGCCTCAAATATCAATTTACCTTCAACTACTTGCTTTTCTTCTTCTTCTTTGATTTGATTGGCTACCTTCTCCAGCTCTTCCTGCAGCTGAGTTGAGGAGGTATGAGCACGGGCAAACTCATTCAGTGTTTGCCAAGCACTTTTCAGAGAGCTGATGAAACCCTGCTTCAAGTCAGAGCCCATTCGAGAGAGACTTTCTTTCAATTCTAAAGAGATTAAGAAAGCACATCATCAGGTTATTAGTCAGTATGTAACATTCTGAACCGCAAAATTTAACATTTTTCACAGGCAGGGGAAAGCCTCTTAGTCTCCTCTTAAATGTCATGTACATGGAGTGTCTCAACCAAAACCCTTCAACATGTTAAAATGTTTTGAGGAGTCTTATCCCTGAAATTTCTGTAATGACTAAACTTGATCCAGCCAAACAAAAGGAGTTCAATTCTATAAAGATGTAACTAAGCACATGCACCACTTCTCCTTACTGTAAGTTACTAAGTGGGCCCACAAAATTAGAAGGTGACTTTTCCTAATTCGTAACAGTGAAACTATTTTGAAAAGGAGAGATTGTAATAGAACTACAATTTAAACTTCTAATTTAAAAATGAAGAAACTCCTACCCTTTCACCTTTTCTACTTTTGTCTAATAATTCCTATTTGAAATCAAGGTCTTTGAGTATCAAATTTCTCACTTTAACCCCAAAAGAGTTAAACACACTCTAAAAGCATGATGGAAGCAAAAAAAGAAAAAGGAAATAACTTTTAAATAAGAGGAAGGACCACTTTTCCTTTTTTCAAACCTGTGGATACGTAATGTAAACCATGAATAACATGAGAGAGACTTAAACCCCACTCAGAGTTATCGCTGATCCGTATGTTCAATGAATGTTTTAACAGGAAAAGTGTCTTATTAGCAAGGAAATAAAAGCCCATTTGACTTGAGAGTGTCACACTTATTTGTTGATGGTTTGGCCATTAGTTCAAATGCTACTAAGCTTTCCCAATGCAAAAACTGTAACAGACTTCTATCAGTCTGCATCAGGTCACCATATGCCATCGACTCCACTCCCAAGCAGCTCAGCAATGAGAATGCTATCAAGGATGAAGCCATCAGGAGAGGGGACCCCTCCATCGCGCCCCTTATAATAGCACCTTCACATAGCGAGCAAGTTTTGAACACAGTAGGCACTGAATATTAATTCATTAAGAAAGGACTTAGTGCCGGGCCGGTGTGGCTGAGCATCGATCCATGCACCAAGAGGTTGCCAGTTTGATTCCCCGTCAGGGCACATGCCCAGGTTGTGGGCCTGATCCCCAGCAGGGGAGCATGCAGGAGGCAGCCAATCGATGTTCTCTCTCATCAGTGTTTCTATCTCTCTCTCTCCCTCTCCCTTGCTCTCTCTCTAAAATCAATGAAGAAGAAGAAAAAAAAAGATACCTTTAAAATAAAAAAAAAGGACAGTGTTAAAATTCTTGTGATTCATTATAAATGACAAATTAAAAAACAAGGGGAAGAAAACAAGTTTCATAATATTTCCTTTTTACCTAAATGAAGCCTTTTTCTGCCTTTGTGATGTGGGATGAGAACTGCTTTTAAGTCCAAGTCTGGAACAATCATAGGTTCAAGTCTATATGCCACTGGATCAAGCTGTGAACAGAAGAATTTTATAAAATGCTATTTTATTTTGAGTTATATACCTTAGTTGGGGGGAAAACAAAAAAACCCAAAAACCCAAACAAAACCCAAAAACCTGGCAAAGCAGATATTTTGACTTTTTTCACACCTATTCAAATACTGGTAATTTTAAGAAGACTTTCCAAGTTTGTGGGTAAAATTACTTTGCAAGCAAAGCGATAGAATTATTTTTTGAACAAAGACTTTTGGTAGAAAAGTTGATTGCAAAGTATTGGACTGTATCTATTAGAACAGAGAGCTGAGAGTTGTACAAAATCCAAATCAGTATTAATTCCTAAGAAATAAGAATCTGAGAATATATCAAGATAAAGAGCACAGGTTTTTTTTTTTTTTTAATCTTCAGATAGAGTGAGAAAGAGGGAGGAAGAGAGAGAAATATCGATGTGAGAGAGACACATCGAGTGGTTGCCACCCTCACGACCCCAACCAGGGCCGGAGACAAACTGCAACTGAGATACATGCCCTTAGTGGGAACCGAACCCGGGACTCCCTGGTCCGCAGGTTGACGCTCTAACCACTAAGCCAAACCAGCCAGGGCAAGAGTACAGGTTTTTCATCTTCTTCAAAATAGGAAGATAATTCAGTTCACTCACTGGATGATAAATATTGAAGAATCCTTTACAGGTAGAAAGCCTGTAGTTCTCATCTATCTGGTCCACTCCTCGAACAGTGAGAAACATGCCAACTGGAGATCCCAAGGCAAAGAAAATCTCTGGTTCGAAGTCTAATGAACTGTAAACAACAGAAACCTAGAAAGAACCAAAGAGCAATAAAAGATGATCATTCCAATAATCATAAGTTGAAAATATCTTAGAAAAACGCATCTAATATAGAACATCACAGCTTAGCTTAGCCTACGTTGAACATGTCAAAATCATCTAACACAAAGCCTATTTTATAATAGAGTGCTGAGTATCTCATGTTGTCAATGTGAAAACACAACACCCAGAACACTGCTGCCAGCCCTTCACCGTGGGCCTGGGAGCTGCGCTCACTGCCGCTGCCCAGCACCACACGAGAGGGCTCTGCCACCTACCACTTGCCCGGGAGAAGATCCAAAATCTAAATTCAAAGTACAGTTTGTACTGAATGTGCATTACTTCCAAACCACCATAAAGGTGAAAAGTCGTAAGTGGAACCATCGTTAAGCTGGGGAGAGAAGGCACTCTTAGAAGCTGCCACTGTGAATACAAACCGCCAGTCTTTCAAGCGGTGAGTAGCATTAACTACCAACGTTTTCATGTGTACATCCTTTGGCCCAGTTAACCTTTTTCCACTTATTTAATTGAAAGAAAGAATAAAGAATGTGCAGGAGGCAGCCAATCGATGTTCTCTTTCATTGATTTTTCTATCTCTCCCTACTTCTTCCTTCTGCTCTCTCTAAAATCAATAAAGAAAAAATAACTGAGAGGTTGAAAACTGAAATAAAGACAACTTCAAAAGTTAGATGATGTATCAGTACACATTCAATCTCTTATTTTGAAGATTATCAAAGAAGCATACAATTTCTATTAAAACGAGTTTTCTCTACCCCTCCGTAAATGTTGAATAAATATTTAAGGAATTTAAAGATACGTGATAACATTAAAGACACATGACTCTAACATAAAACATGCAGCCCCAGCCACCCGTGAAGGTACCTGTCCAGTGCCGATGGCAAAGGACTCGCAGTCCACCGGCACAGAGGACACACACGCACCAGCCGGGAGCTTCCTCCTGGACTCACTGGGTTCCGAGGGGAGAGAAGCCATCTCTTTAGCTTTCTGAGCACTTTCCTCTTGTCCTCTGGTTGAAGCTGCCATCAGCGTCTTCTTTTCTGAGGCTCCTTTTTTCTGTTCCTGTAAAATACCAAAATTTCATAGCATAACCCTGAGGAAAAAAGTTTAGTTATGAGTTATCACCACAAAACATGCTACCTTGATAACAGGCAATGATTAATAATTTCTTAGGCACAATAATGATATTGTGTCATTAGAGAAATGTCCCTTTTAGAGACACACAATAAATATGTAGGAAAGAAATGCCAAGTCTAAAAATTACTTTAAAATTCTTAAAAGATTAAGAGGCAATGAAAAAATACAGCAAAACAGCTACAATTAAATCTAAATATTGATTATCAGTATACTGTTTGTAAACTTTTCTATATAATTTAAAGTTTTAATCATAGGAAGTTTTAAAATGCCAAATTTTCCCTTTAAGATCTAAACTTTAGACAGATAGTTTAGTTTATATAATTCTAAAATACATGCTTCTTTGAAGACGTGCGACTCAGGAGGAAGTTCTTTCAGCATTGCATCTGAATGGAGCCACGAACAAGTTCTCCTCAGAAGCATTTTGGGAGGGACAGAAAAGCACACTCTGGCCTGTTCACACAATGGAATAACTACTCAGAAATAAATAGGAACGAACATCAAATGATGTACAATTTGGTGAAGCTCAAAAACATATTTTGAGTAAAAAAAGTCAGATACAAAGAGTACATGCACAGTGTTCATTCCACTTCCAGAGAACAGGCAACACTTTCAAGAGTGTCAGGAATCAGAGTAGTTGTCTGGTGGGAGGAGTTGACTAGAAAGAAGCATGTGTGACAAAAATGTTCCTTCTTGTTTTAGGTTGTGATTACACAGGTGCAATGATTTTCAAAACTTATTGCCCCAAATACTGACGATCAATTTATCTCCATAAACAAGTGAGTGAACAGAAGCTGTGGGAGCACTGTGGACAGGGTTATCTAATGCAGGACAAAGCCCACTCGCACCCGACACCGCAGCCAGGGGATGTGCACAGCTGTCATGGTGGACTGCCGACTCCCCACAAGCGCACGTTCCCGTGGCCCTCATGCCCCAGGCTGCGAGTGACTGTGTAGGTCTCTGTTTAAACAGTAGTTGACGATGCCCAAACAAAACCACTGGCCAAATCAGCCTTATCTATCAATAAATTCCAGATACTAGGAAAGCAGGAGAATCCGCTGGCTAATTCAATAGGCACCACAGAGAAAAGAAAACTCTCTGCCAGCCAGCTGGGAACCGGCTCCACCACAAATATTTTGGAAGGTTTGGGTTTGATTATCTCTGCCCTTTGAAGGTAGCACAAGATGAAACCTAAAAACCCAAAATGAAGAACATGTTCAGAATTCTTCAGTTCAAATTTGCTTTCTTACTCAGAAGTACCTCCCATTATATTTATGAAGTTATTCCAAATTGATAAGAGAGCTATCTAAATAGATCACAAAGTGTCCTATTGCAAACAGTTGTTCTGTTTTTCCTAGACTAATGCAGTAATTATAAAAACAAAGTGAACCAACACACACATACTTGACTACTGGTGTTTCCAACACTAAAAAACATTCCTTTCACATGGAAATCACTGTTAGTTTACAAAGACAACAGCAGCACTCAGACCGAAGTACTTAATGTCCTGATTATAAAATAATTTGCTGATTTCTGTCCCATTATCTGTTACATTAAATCGAGAGGAAACACCACATTATCTTATTACTGATCTGGCAGCACCTTGTTATCTTTGAAAAATGAAGAACGATCAATAGCAATACGGTTAAGAAAATGACATGGTTCATCCAGAGGCAATCACTTCTTAAATTAAAAAAAGATTGCTTTACAGATTTTTATTCCTTTCAAAACATTCTCTTTTTTTTGCTTTTGTTTTTTTTTAGTACGTGCCCCTAGCGGAAACCGAACCTGGGACACTCTGGTCCGCAGGCCGATGCTCCAACCGCTAAGCCAAAACAGCCAGGGCAAAATATTCTTATAATACCTTAATTTATATATCTAAGCAACTACAGTATATGTGAACCAGGCTCCTTCTAGAAATTTTCCAAGAACTGTAGAATATTTCCCACTGGTTTTCCTCTTATTACAGCATAAAGTCAAGGACATGCTGTACAGCCTGAAAACAGCTTCTTATTTGCTTGTTTTTAGACTTGTCTTCACTGATGTGCACATGGATAATGCTGATAATGGAAAGACCAGGAAGGAGTCAGTGTGTTTAAACATTAATTTATTATAGAAACATCTGCAGTTAAATTTTTATAATGCAGTTTATAGCACTTATTTTATAAACTTAAAATTAAGATTTAGACTAAACAGATGATTTGGCACCAAATCATAACTGATGATGAAAGTAATGGGCAGGGCAACGTTTTGTGATGTTGAAAAGCTTTATGAGTATCATGGCCATAAGAACAAGTTTGAGAACCACTTCAAGACAAAATCCAACTTCCACACCTGCCATCTGGGCCTTCAGGACCCTCTGCCTTCCCCTACGCTCACCTCACCCGAGTAGCTGCAGGCCCACTTCTGAAGGCCACTCTACCCTCCTTCAAGCTCAGACACCAACACCTTGGCAAAGTCTTCTCTGACCAACCCACCCTCCTCCCAGGCCAGAACTCCACCCTCACCTGGCTCTCACAGCACGGATGCACTGTTACAGGACTGAACTGTCATCATTTGTTGTCTGATCTCTCCCTCTAACTAGACACAAAACCTCAGTTCATCTCCAAATCCCAAGAATTGAGCACCACGCCTGATACAAAAGATATATTTATAAAATGCTGATTAACTCAACTAATCACAACAAATCAGCCTATGACTGCAGTCATGTTACACAAACTGACATATGTTCAGTTCCAAAGAAGTAACACAAATATAAGAGCCACAGAAGTTCTAAGATGGATCAATAAACCCATGTTAATAAAAATAAAACAGCCACCCTATGTGGGATCTAATTTTTCAAATCTCTGTGAAATTAACTTAATAAAAATTAAACAAGTGATTTTTTCCCCCAGTTGTTTTCTTTTTAAGTGATTTTTAGTTACTGCTGCTGTTATGTTTTGTATTGTTAAGAATTTTTGCTTTTTGGTCCTGGTCAGGTAGCTCAGTTGGTTAGTGTCATTCCAATACACCAAGACTGTGGGTTCAATCCCTGGTAAAGGCAATACAAGCAGCAGCCAATGAAAGCATCAATAAATGGAACAGAAAACTGAAGTTTTTCTCTCTCCCCTACCCCCCTCTAAAAATCAATAAATAAAATTTTCAAAATGGAATTTTTGCATTTTGGTTAATATTAGTGAGATTTGTGTGTGTGTGTTTATCTTTAGAAGGTGAGAAGGATTGTGAAGAGGGAAAATGAGCTCACATCTATTGGGTTTAACCTTCACATGCATTACTTCATCCTTACTGCAATGCTATAAGGAAGGTATCATTCCCAATTTAGAAATGAAGAAATTAAAAGATCAGAAAGGTAAGCAAATTGCTCATGAATATGTAGTTAATAATAAGAGACTGAAATAGGAATCAGGGTAACCAACTCATCTATTTGTGGAGGATTTACCCAGTTTCTACACAGGGAAATTCCCATTTTCAAAATCAAAGTCCTCTGTCCAGGAAATTCTCTCAGTCCCCAAGGAAACTGGGTGGTCAGTCACTCTAACAAGAATTTAAATCCAGTTCCGGCTGACTCCACAGTCTGCGCTCCCATCAACTCCATGGCTGTGCTGTGTCAAGGAGCATTCCAGCCTGCCTAGCCAAGATGGCACTGACAAAAATTTCCAAAATATAAACAAACTAGTCATAGATGAGTTCTGTTTTCTTTGGGGCAGAGATGAAACTTTACCAGTTTGACAGCTTTGAGTTTCAGGAAGTTAGTTATCTTCTTTCTGGGTCCCAGGGGTATCCCCATTTCCTTCAGGTCATCAACTGTACACATAAGCTTTGAAAGAACACAAACAAGCTCATAAATGATAGCGAAAGAAAAACTGATAAAAGAAAACACAAAAATAGACTGTACATCTAAAGCAATCTAAAATCCAGTAAATTTTTTTAGAAGTTAATTTTTTTTGTTTTTAAATCATGGATGAATTTAGGATGTAAAATCTTGGCCCTCCATATCCAAATCATTCTATTAATTCTTTAACAAAAATACATGCATGTTGTACAAAATTCAAAAGCTACAGCCAAGCGGAAGCTTTGAAGTCTCTCCTCTCCAGTTCTGCCCCAACCATCCAACTGAGCTGCTCAACAGCAGCTGCTGGACACCTGCTCCCCTTCCAGAGAGACAGCTTCTAGGTGCTTTTCCATGTACGCGTGTGTGTGCGACCTACTATGCAAACAGGACTGAACTTCAGGTCTTTTCGCTTGACGTACCAAGAGATCACTTCAACCCTGGCTGGTTTGGCTCAGCGGTTTGAGTGTTGGCCTATGGACCGAAGGGTCTCATGTTTGATTCCCGGTCAAGGGTACATGCCTGGGTTGCAGGTTCGATCCCAGCATGGTTGGTGGTGTGTGGGAGGCAACCAGTTGATGTGTCCCTCTCACATCAACGTCTCGCTCCCTCCCTCACTCCCCTCCACTCTATCTAAAAAACAAAAAACTAAGAGATCATTTCACACCACCATCTCTGACACTGCTTCATTCATTCTGCAGCTGCAGGGTACACCAACGTGGACACACCACAACAAGCTTCATCAGTGTCCTACTAATGGGCACGCAAGGTGTCTGTTTTGCTAGTACAGACAGTGCTGCAGTATCCTAGCACACATTCCAGTGTGTACATTTCTCTACAGGAAATTTCCTGGCAGTGAATTTCCTGGGCTAAAAGGTATGTCCTTTTTTACATTTTAAAACTATAAAATGCCAAACTGCCCTCCAGAGAGGTTGTACCAATTGACATTCTCACGGACAATGTGTAACAGTGCCTACTTTCCCTCATACTAGCCACATAGTGAACAGGGTGGTGCAAAAGCGGTTTTCAGTTGTTCATATGCAAAATATTACAGTAATTAATGAACAATAATAAAAGAGTAAATTCTATTCTGCATACTCACAACTGTACACCTAGTTTTCCCCACCCTGTATAATCAAACTTTTTATTTTTGCCAAACTGATAGGTTAAAAATAAAATCTCATAGCACTTCTCACTTGCATTTCTCTTACAAATCTTCTTATAAGAAGCCATGTTGTTTTATTTCCTGATATCACCTGTTCTTATTGTTTGCCTCTTTTCCTACTATGTTATCTTTCTGTAACTAATTTGTACAAGTTTTGAATAGTAAGGAAATAAACCATGTGTCTATAATATGTGCTCCAAATATTCTTAATCTATCACTGGCCTTTAGATGTCGTGTATGGCATCTCCTGCTATGCAATTTTTTTCTTTTATGACTTTTGGGTTTTATGTCCCTCTTAGAAAATCCAACTGAGATTGTTTCTTGTTGGTTTGTTTGTTTCTAATTCTCCTGCGTTTTTCCATTTTTTAACCATTTAAGTCGCTGCCTTATCTGGAATGTGTTGTGATGGAAGAGTGTTTTAATCATTCTTAAACAAAATGAATCAAACTATCCTCAGTACCAAAGATTCCATGTCGATCTTTTCCTTTTCAAACGTGCTAACGTATTCCGAGAGGCTAAGTGCTGCCAGTGTTCCCTGCAGAGTTAGGACTTCTTCATTTTCAACATCAAGGTCATAAGACTCATCCAAGGTCAGCTTTGGCTCTTCCTGCATCTTTTAAAAAGTTGAGAAAACATTATAAATCTCAGAAAAACTCCCATAAAATGTCACCAATCTACAGAAAATTTTAAATCATTCTGCTCTATAAATAAATCGTAATTTTTGTAGTTTGTAATCCAAAGTTTAAAATAGTCTGAAAAAAGCATATACATTTAACAAAGCATTCACGCTCCCACATATTACAACAACGAACTGTATGGTTCGATTATACTTGTAAACCTCAGTGTATTCTGATATATAGAAGCAGTTCAGATTTTGGGAAACAGTTCAGCTCCACTTCCAAACGTAAGCATTAACTCAGCCTTGCCTGCTTCTCCTGAGAACGGGGCTGCTTCATGGCTCCATTAGCAACAGCAGAAGGCCCTGGAGACTTCGATCAAGTCAAGTCTTTTTGATTAGACAGGATGTCAAACAAGATTAAAGAACCTAAAAAAAAAAAAGCATTTCGCTTTATAATGTTGTAGGTGTTTTTTGTTTTTTGTTTTGTTTTTATCCTCACCCGAGGACATTTTTCCATTTTTTATTCTGATAGAGCAGGAGGGAGAGAGAGGAAGAGAGAGAGAGAGAGAGAGAAACATCGACGTGAAAGGGACACATCGAGTGGCTGCCACCCGCACGACCCAACCAGGGCTGGGGACTAACCGCAACCGAAGTATATGCCCTTAGCGGGAACCAAACCCAGGTCTCTCTGGACCACAGGCCAATGCTCTAACTGCTGAGCCAAACCGGCCAGGGCTGTAGGTGTTTTTTATAACACTAAACATATTCTCCTATTTTTTTCTCAATGTCCCTCAGCAGAAGTCGTGCAAAAGTTAGATATTAATCAAGATCTTAAAACCAGTATTCTTGTTTTACCACATAGCAGAATAAATTAAAACATACAGCATCCATAGGTAACATGAAAGGTGACTAGCAAAGGCAGAATCTGAACTCTCAGCAGGGTCATCCACACTGAAAGCAGTGATGGCTCAACAGACAGTCTGTTTAGAATGTGAACGTTTGACAGTTTTACCTAAACTGTGACCAGCAACAGAGATTCCTCCTTTAAGCTTGGGTTCCGGCTCATGAAGAGGGCATGCAGATGGTTTAGCTCCATTCCCACTTTTCCCACAATCTTCTGACAGTAGGTGGGGCTATTGTAAAACAGAATATCTAGCAAGGTTTCATTGGTAAAGTGACGAAACCGACCGACGCTTGGTAAAGTGATTTTCTTAATATTCCTGTTTAAAAAGGAAAAAAAGTATATTATCCTCAGCTACCTTAAATCTATGAATTTTTTAAAGTTCAGATTTTATATCCTGAGAATACACTGAATAAAAAAAAAATCCCACAAACTAATTATGGGTTGATATTGTACAGTTATCATAAATAAATCAAGATTAGCAAAAAAGTTCCTATTTGTGCTTTTAACTGTACTTTCAATTTTGGGATTTTTCTGAATAGTTATCAAATAAAATAAGGCTTATGAAAAGAGTTTTCCCCCCTTTGATTTTAGAGAGAGAGGAAGGGAAAGGGAGAGTGAGACAGAAACATCGATGAGAGAGAACATGGACTGGCTGCCTCCTGCATGCCCACCACTGGAGATCGGGCCCAAAACCTAGGCATGTGCCCTGACTGGGAATCGAACCGGTGACCTTTTGGTGACACTCAACCACCGAGCCATACCAGCTGGGCAAAGATACTTATTTTTAAAGAAGAAAGCCTACTCTTCAATTTTTCTTACAATGTACTAGAAATCAGAACACCTGACATCAGCTGTGAGTGGAAAGGACAATAGAGAAAGTAGCAGGAAGCAAGAAAGAAGCTTAATGGAATGAAGATCTTCCCTGATTTGAGAATGGCCACAGCAAAGTTCAAGAACATCCAGAGAAAAAAACACCCTCATAACAGGGCCCAGCACAGACATAATGCGGTTTGCAGGACCAGTGTTATTAAACCATGGGCCCTGACACACGATGACGTTCACCTAAAAGCAGATGTTATTATTCCTGTGTTCTCACAGAAATATGACCTGGAAAAAGAACCAAAATCACCTAAATGTGTGGTTCTCAATTAAAAGTACTGAAAACTGAATGGGAGTGGTCATCACAGTGCCTGATGACTGCTGTGGGCATTCAGTGGCATTCAGACTAGGGCACTACAGCACACACAACAATGAGACGGCAAAGAACTGCCCTGCCCAAAGAGCCTCCCCTGAGAAACAGTCATCTACACCAGTGGTTCTCAACCTGGGGTGGTTTATCCCCAGGGAACACCTGCAATGACTTGAGACATTTTTGGCTGTCACGCTGAGGGAAGGAATTTACTACTGTTATCTACTGGGTAGAGGTCAGGGATGCTGCTAAACACCCTACAATGTACAAGACAGCCCCTTACCTAAACCACTATACATCAGTATTGTAAAACCAGCTTAGGTATGGCCGGTGTGGCTCAGTGGACTGTGCATTGTCCCATGGGTTGAGAGGTCCCGGTTCGATTCCTGGTCAGGGCACATGGCCAGGTTACGGGTTTGATTCCCAGTGTGGGGTGTACAGGAGGCAGCCGATTGATATTTCTCTACCTCATCGATGTTTCTATTTCTCTCTCTCTCCTTTCTTCTCCATCTAAAATTAAATAAATAAATAAAACCAGCACAGAGGTACCAGATTGTCTTAAACATTTATGGTAAGAATACCTGTATACATATGTATGCACACACAGAAAAGTAGCATGAACTTAACAGCGAGTACTTAATGATATGTCAGAACAAGTATAAACTTAGAATAAAAAAAAGACATTTGTTTTAAAAAAAATACATTTGTTGAAGTCATAATAAACTACTATGAATCTAAGTTTGAACAATCTAAACAACATGTTCTCAAAATGCACCAACCTGTCAACACCTGTGGCATCCCCACCCAAGGAGCTATGCCAATGAACTGGAAGGAACTCCACTCTGCTTATTTTCTGATCATCTAAAGATTTCTTGAAATGTGTCTGCAGCAATTTGAGAGAAACCACTCTAAAATCATCCACTTAAAAAAAAAATTCAGGGAAAACAACAAATTCAATTAATTAAATCTTCTTAGCTTGATAGGTAGAGTTAGCAATTACCTCAATTATGCCAGTATTTTTTGTAACAAACGTTTTATGGAAAAAAAAAAAAAGATTTAGCCCCCAAAACAATAAACCTAATGTTTAAAAAGTTCTTGTAAATTTTCATTATTTCAGAGGTACGTATAAATGACTGGAGAACTTCAGTTTAAACACCACATCCAGGCAGCATGTACTGTGGGTACAGACTCGGGGATCACGATGCCTGCTCCAGAACACACAGACCGTGACATGGGAGAGGCTGACCCACCCTCTGGGCCGCGGCTGCTTACTGAAGGGGGCATGGCAACACCTGCACCCAGGCTTTACTGCGAGGTCAGCTGGTACAATACACGCAAGGTATTTGGCACCTACCGAGTATTTAATAGACATGAACTATTACACAGACACAAAAATAAACTTCAAAAATTCCTGTAGCCTTGGCCGTGTAGCTCAGTTGGTTAGAGTGTTGTCCCCAAGGTTTTGGGTTCAATCACCAGTCAGGGCACATGCAAGCAATGCAATCAACCACTGAATGCATAAATAAGTGGAACACCAAATGGATTCCCCCCCCACCCCTCCTCCTTCCTCTCTCTGAAAATCAATAAAAAATATTTCTGTAAACCAAGCAGATTCATACTTCCAATATACAACTTTTCACAAGGAATTCTCTATAAATCAGTTCAATATACAGGTGTTCCTAGTTGCTGAAAGTGCTGGGAAGAGGCTGTCAGAAAAGCTAAATTATTTACAAGATCCTATCTAATTCTTCAGTCTAGAATTGTATGAGTTACACAGGTCATAAGAACAAATTAAGTACAAGTTAATATTCCCAGTGATCATTTAAATCTCCTCTTACAGTCCCTCAGCTGGAACCTCTTTTAGCAATGAACACTTCAAAGTCCTCCCATCACTCTTGAATCAGTCCATATGACACTCACCACATTCCACAATGCTCCTGAAGCGCAGGTCACACACAGGCCCGACGCCTTGCACCACGAACACCAAGTGGTCCACCTGAGGCATTTCCCCTACAAAAGAAATACACACATACGTATAAGCTAGAAACTTATTGGGTTTTCTGAACTGAAAAGCAATATTCTAGATATCCCTTTTGTCATCACAAACATACCAGGACATTTATGACCCTTCCAACCTAGTAAGCCTAATTATCCTCTACCAACTTAGAGGAACAAAACTCAAAGTCAGTCTTAGCAAATAATAGTGAACTGGACCCAGGAGTGCAAGAGGCAGGCCATCCCTAGTCCCAGAGGTTGTCATCATATGATGGCCAGCAGCTTTGTACCTATAAAGGATCCAGAAACTCGTGAGTTCCTCAGAACTCCACAGGCACTAAGCCCCACACAAGGAAGCAGTTTGCCAATATAAAACTTTAAAATCTTCTCCCCAAATCCTTCTCTTTGATTTGTTAGATTCATACATACTGTAAATAGGAACATCTCCAAGTTAAATCTAATTTTACTGTGTTTATTTCATTCTCATTCAGAATAAGAGTATATATTTTTTGTAATTTCATAAGACAATGAAACAAATATAAACTATGTAATTGTCAAAATAAAATCCATACTTTAAATGGTGTAATAGGAGAAACAAAAGCACAAACACTGCAGCAGGGGTTAGCAAACCATGGCTCACAGGCCAAATCCTGCTCACTGCCTGTTTTCCTAAATAAAGTATTACTGAAATACAGCCATGCCCATTTGTTTACACACCGTCTATAGATGCATTCACACTACAGTGACGAGGTGAATACATGCAACAGAGTCCACATGGCCTGAAAAGCTTAAAATATTTACTATTTGGCCTTCACACAGAATGTCTGCCACCAGCATTAGTGAGGTATGACAGAATAAGCCCAAAACACAGCCAAAAGCCCAATTTCAACCAGCAAAGTGTTGCTTTACAACAATACATATTGTAGAATCTGTATTACATGGTTTGTATATCTTCACAGAATTTAAAAATATTAAAAGGTAACAAGATTTCTAAAAAGATATGTGCCAACCTGGCTGATTTCTGTATGTTTCTAATAACTATTTCTTTTTGTCATCATTCTAAAGAATGATTCTAAAATAGAGAAGTTCAGAAATGACACTGGTTCTACACAAATTTTACACACCATCAGGAATTTCATCAAGGTTATTGTCAACTCCACGCTTTACAACCCTGGGTCTGGTCTGTCCATCTTGAGTGGTCCCCCACTCATCTGGCACTGATGAAGGCTGGAACTGAACAATAACCTTCAAGATACAACAGAAGGATTGACAGTTCATCACCAAATCCATTTCCACTACAGGCCAAATAATGTGTTTCAGTACATTATAAAGTACTTCATAACACGGATAATTTATATATCAGGTACTACCATTGTTCCCCTAAAACCAGTCTGTAACAGTCCTGGAAGTGATCATTAATCATTAAAAGTAACCAAGTCAATACCACTATTTCTAATGATAATGTTGGAAAATAACACAACTAAATGAGAATACACCTTGATTTAGGAATGTAATATAAACATCCAAGTTTACACATAAGAAATTAAGGAAAAGTTACATGCAATACAGAAGTCTATTTACAAATGCATTTTCAATGCCAAACACTAACTTATTCACCACTTTTTTGGGAGACATATATTGTTTAATCCAACTATATTAAATTAAACTTGATGTCATAAGAAAATATTTCTTAAAAAAAAAAAAAAAAATGAATGTGCCCAATTGGTGTGGCTCAGTGGATTGAGCGTTGTCCCACAGACTGAGAGGTCCCAGTCGATTTCCAGTCAGGGTGCATGCCAGAGTTGCAGGCTCGATCCCAAGTGTTGGAAGTGCAGGGGACAGCCAATTGATGTTTCTCTCTCACATTGATGTTTCTCTCTCTCCCTTCCCCTCTCTCTTCAAGAAAAATCAATGAAAACATAATTTAAAAAAAAAATGAATGCATGCAAGATGTTATGCAAAGTTTTTGTTTGTACACAAAACAAAAAGTTAAAAAATTTTAAAACAAGAGGACAAGTGGTTATCAAGAGGAGAAACTGGGAAAATGCAGACGTAAGAGGCTTTTTTCATTTCATATCTTTTTATACTGTTTAAATTTTGTTGACATGTAAATGTTTTCATTCTTATTCACTTTCGTATCAGTAAGGACTGAGGAGGTGGTTAGAATATAGTTTATCTCATACTTTCATGGAATAAGTAAATAGTCCACGTTCTGAACAAGACTGTGCCAAGCACTGTGCTACATGCTGTTGCATCAATCACTTCACTTCACCCAGAATACGGCCCAGGAGGCAGAGCTTGTTGCAGGTGCGGAGCCTGTGGCCCAGAGAGTGAGGAGGATGCGAGAAAGGATGTAAACACCGTGAATCATCACCTTAAAAAACCCTCCATCGTGGACAGGGCCAACACTACAGCCTTCAGGCAAAATCTGGCCCACCACTTGTCTTGACACATAGTTTTATTGAAACTAGCCATGTTCAATGTCTGTAGCTGCTTTCCAGCTACAAGGGCAGAGTTGACAACTGTAACGAAGACACGTGGCGTAAAAAGCCTTAAATCTCTACTCTCTGTCCCTTTACAGGAAAAGTCAGCTAACCCCTGATCAAGTGCAAACATTTATCAAGCAACTCCTATGGTGCATACTAAGCCTCAGCTAAGATGCGCCATAAACAGAAACTTCATGAGATAAATTTAAAATTTATTTTTGTTTCTCTGATCCATGTGAACTATACCTATATCCCTACTGCTACAATTAATAAAAATAAACATCTATCGAATACATTCAGCAAAATAATTATTTAAATAAACCTAGAAACTGCAATAGCGTAAAAAATATGATTACCTTTGGATTGTGCATAACAATGGTCTCTCCACTTGGAAACTCTAATCTGCGGTGCCACTGATTCGTGGTTACAGCTTTTTTATACTCAGCCTACGATAATGGAAACATGTATTATTAGAAATTTACATCGCATTAAAAGAAAAAGGGAAAGTTTTAACTATGATAGTAATAAAAATAATAGGAGGTCTCATGTACTAATTGGTTACCACACTCAACATTTTACATATACTACCTCATTTAATTAATTACTCTCAGTCATTCCTAAAAATATTATCCACATTACATAAAGGCAAAAATAAAAATCAGTTTCCTAGAGCTCTATAAAAATGTGCTTAAAACAACAGAAATGTACTCTCTCACAATTCTGGAGGCCAGGTGTCTGAAATCAAGGTGTCAGGAGGGTAAATGGCTTAAAAGGGCCATGTTTCTCTGAAACCTGCAGGGAACCCCTTCATCGCCTCTTCCTAGCTGCTATGGTTTGCTGACTATCTTTAGCATCCCTTCGCTTACAGGTGCATCACTCCAATCCCCTATTTTCACACAGCATTCTCCCCACGGCTGTCTTCTTACAAGGATGCCAGTCATATGAGATCGGGGGCCCACCCTACTCCACTGTGATCTTATCTTAAGTAAGTATATGTGCAATGACTCCACTTACAAACAAAGTAACATTCTAACCTACTAGAGATTAGGACACTTTAAGTTCATAACTACATGAAATCACACATTGGAAAGCAGCAGAGGCAGAATGGCAGTTCACTCCCACCCACAACTTCCTGACATCAAAGATCTTCTTTGTGTATAGGATCAAGACAGGCATTCTTGACCCTGGCTGGGTAGCTCAGCTGGTTAGTGTCATCCCTATACACCAAGGTTGCAGGTTTGATCCCCAGTCAGAGCACATATAAGAATCAACCAATGTATGCATAAGTAAGTGGAACAACTAATCCAAGTTTCTCTTTCTCTAGTAAATAAAATAAGTAAATTTAATTAAAAAGGAACAGGCTGTCTTGCAAACCAAGTCTGCTTCCTGTGAGTGCTACTACATGAGGCTCCAAAGTACACAGGGCCTACATATTTTTTAAAAAAGCATAAAGAAACAAAGTCCACGTACCTCTAGTTTTTCACTGAATTCCTCTGTATAGGGAATAAATCTGCTATCTGTGTCTCCTTTGTAAAACCAAGTACAGCTTCTCACTTCAGCTGGCTCCTCCTCCCAGTACCCAGCTTTCCTTATTCAGTCACACAGGTAAACATCATAGCGCCCTCCATCCGTGCCTAGAACCACACTCTCAGGGTCTGGCTGGACTGGACAAGGCACATTTAAAAGAAATAAATAAAGACTACAGTGGCCAGTTGATCCTTAAAGACAAAAAACTAAGCTCATTTAAATTTTAAAATAGCTTAAGACCAGCCGGTGTGCCTCAGTGGATTGAGCGTCATCCCATGGACTGAGAGGTCCCAGTTCGATTCCCGGTCAGGGCACATGCCCAGGTTGTGGGCTTGATGCCCAGCAGGGCATGTACAGGAGGCAGCTGATGAATGTTAATGTTTCTCTCTCTCCATCTCCTTTCTTCTCTCTCTAAAATCAATAAAAGCATATATTTGTTTTTAAAAAAGAAAAAGAGATTAACTGTGTTGATCAAAATGATGATTCTTCTTAAGCTAAGAAATAATCCAGGCAAAACTGTAAAACATGATCATAAAATAATTTAAATAGCTGGTAGATTTTTTTAAAACAAAAGCAGCTATATTTATGAAGTATATTTCTAAAGAATATTAATAGGTAATCTTTAAGTCCCATGATAAAATATCATCAGGATAAACAGATGAACATGTTTCTATATTGCAAGATTTCTGAGCATAAACACACTCCTGTGCACTGTGCACCTCAAAAGGTGGATGTAGTTACAGTATTTGTATAAGTCACCTGACGATGGGACACATTTTTCACAGCATCTTAAGAAATAAGGTTTCCATAGAAAATGCTTTATAAATACTACATAGCTACCAAAGAATCAGGGAAATAAGAAAACTGACAATCAAAAAAAGGAGAAAAAACATTTACACCTGGATTATATAAACTGCTCCATTTTTCTGACTCAAAATAACCTTTAAACAAGGAAGACAATTACTAAAACACTTCTTCAAATACCTTGCTCAAATAATTACATTTGTATTATCATCTGAAGAAACAGAGTCTGGGTGGTCTACAGGGACTAAGGAGTGTGATATTCACCAAAAGGGAGCTATCGATGAATATCCCTCATTTCCTCTCTCCCTGAAATCAGCTATAAATGACACATAAGCAGTGCTCACCTGAATTGTAGACTTCTTCTAGATTCAAGGAGTCCAGCACACTGAACGGCACCCAGAGCTGTCTGCACTCTACCTCCCTGCAGTGAAACCAGTGGGGCTGGACAGGCTCATACTGGCTCTGAAGTGTGAAAGGAGGTGGCGCCTGTACAGAGGGGCCCACGGGCCTGGGGAGTGCCTGCTGCTGGACTGGAGGGCACAACCCTGACTGCAGTGAAGGAGGGATCTGGAGAGCAAAAAGGTGAGACCATCATGCTTATTCCAAGGAATATTTTGCATATAATCCAAACCCATTATCAAGAGTCTGGGTACCAGTATGATTTAAATTAAATATAATGAAACCCTTCTCTATCCCCAAGAGTAAAGTTCAGTGACACTCATAATACTGCTACCCCTGCTCCTCCGGGTTGGGTCCTTCTTTCTCTTGTTTCCTTTTTTATGTTTTTATTTTATTTCCCTTTGGAAGTCAGCTGTATATCAGTTGGCAAAAAAACATAAGGGAATTTCATTAAATTTACCCAGTGTATTATTCCATTACTCTAGTGAGACTGAGTTTAACTGTCTAGATCCAAACTCCATAAATGTAAATAAAAGAAATTACGGGAGTCTGGCTTGGTGTAGCTCAGTGGTTGAGCATCAGTCCATGTACCAAGAGGTTGCCAGTTTGATTCCCGGTCAGGGTACATGCCCAGGTTGTGGGCCAGATTCCCACTGGGGGGCATGCAGGAGGTAGCCAATAGAAGTTCTCTCTCATCAATGTTTCCATCTCTCTCTCCCTCCCCCATCCTCTTTAAAATCAATAAAGAAAAAATATTTTTTAAAAAAGGAATTACTGGGATAATCCATTTCAGTCCCTGAGATTGAGTATCTTGTTTGAATATTGTAATTTAAAATTAGAAGTTGGCAGTCTATTAAGATAATAATTGCTTCAGCTCTCACTGGTCTGTAGATCACATTTATCATTGGTATCTTACAATAAAATCTAGAAATATTGGTACAGATTAACTCATTAAACTCAACAACTTCAATACAGATTAATACAAACTAAAATGTGAACCATTCAATGAGCTCCTTTTAAAAAAATGTTTGCTTCAAAGCATATAGCTTACAAAGAATATCCTCTGGCCCAGCCAGTGTGGCTCAGTGGACTGAGTGTCATCTGAAGGCACTGAGAGGTCCAGATTCGATTCCTGGTCAGGGCATGTGCCTAGGTTGTGAGCTTGATCCCAGTGGGGGGCATGCAGGCGGCAGCCGATTGATGTTTCTCTCTCACCTTGATGTTTCTTTCTTTCTTTTTTTAAATATTTCTTTATTGATTTTTAGAGAGGAAGGGAAAGGGAGAGAGATAAGAGACATCGATGACAAAGAACATCGATTAGCTGCCTCCTGCATGCCCCCCTCTGGGGACTTGGCCCACAACCTGGGCATATGCCCAGCCCAGGAATCAAACCAGCGACCTCCAGGTTCATGAGTCGATGCAACCACTGAGCCACACTGGCTGGGATCACCTTGACATTTCTATCTCTTTCTCCCTTTCTCTCACTTAAAAAAATATATATATATATATATACATATATATATATATAAATAAAACAAAGAATATCTTCTGAAAATAATTTATCATCATATTGATTATGAAAAACACTGTGCATTTATAATATAAGCATAGGCTAAGTGAGAGAGAGATTAAAAATTAAAGTGAATAATTAGGAAACAAAAAACGTGTCTCCGTACCGGTGGCAAAGATCCCGGAGGTGTCTGGTACATGTGAACAGGGGCTCCAGAAGGTGGAGGATGGGTGGGATGGCCTGACGTTTGGCACTGCTGCAGCTGTGGTGGTGTAATGTAAGGGTTAGCTCTGCTGGTTACAGGAGTGTGGCGATAGGGATTGTATCCTTGTTGGGACAGTCCTTGGGGTGGGCTCCCAAAATTTGAAGGAGGCAGACTACTTGGTTGAAAAGGCAAATAAGTATTTGTTCCCATCTGTGAAGAAGCTGGAGCACCATACTGAGCCTTTGAAATGGATGATGGAAATGTATTCAACACATCTTGGGATCCGGTTGTAAAGGGGAGAGCAGCGGGGAGCTTGGAGGATGCTGCTTGCGCAGCGGATGCTGCTGCAGTTGTTGAAGGTGACTGTTCAATATTCCCAAACGGGTCACTATTGCTTGTTACCTGAGAGAAGTAACTAAATGTCTGTGGAGCAGACACTTGAGCAGAAGTCTGACCAAGAAAGCTGTCCTCCTCACCAACATCTGTGGAATCCTCTGGAAGGAACAGAAGAGTAAATGGGTTAAAAGGTATGCTATTATTCTGTAGACCCAGCTCTTGTACTTCTTATTTTGTTTTTCAGGTTCACATTTCTGCATTTTACAAAAAAAATGAAAAACTTCTCTTTTGTCTTTGAAAACAAACTAAAAAATATGAATAAGGCCCAGCCGGTGTGGCTCAGTAGATTGAGCATCAACCCACGCACCAAGAGGTCAACGGTTCAATTCCCGGTCAGGGCACATGCCTAGGTTGTGGGCTTGATCCCTAGTGGGAGGCGTGCAGGAGGCAGCCAATCGGTGTTCTCTCTCATCAAAGTTTGTATCTCTCTCTCCCTTTCCCTTCCCTTGTCTCTCTAAAAATCAATTTAAGTTATATATACATATGTGTGTGTGTGTATATATATAAAATGAATAAGAACCAAAGGAAGAAAAAAATTTTAAATTACTCATAAGCCCACCTTCCAGAGATAATCACCACTAAAAATATTTTGGTACATACCATTCCACACTTTTAAAATAAGTATAAATAGTTACATAGTACTTATTTTGTAAATATATAGCAATTATACATATTTGTATATAGAAGTTCTTAAAATTAGAAAAAATCCAAACCTACTATTACAGGTTCTTCTAAATCGTGTTTTCTCTAGTAAGAAATCAAGTTGTATTCCGCTACCCAAATACACAATGTTATTTCTACAGTAATGGCAGGAGACTAAAGTACAGATATTAACTCTTGTTGAGAAGGGGTGTGTCAGCGCTCTTACCTACAAAGCACTCTTTTTACAAATGAACATGTGGTATTTGTATTCAAAGGCAAAGCAGTCATCCCCAAAATCAAAGTATCATCATAACCAGATAATTTGTCATTACAGAATGCCAAATCACTAGAAAAGTCATTGTCTACCAAAGGGAATTTCTTCTCACCTCCCTTTGCCCAAATGGATCTTCATTGCGAGTATCTCCAACCCCAAACTAAGTATCTTCTCTTCTGCCACCAAGTTGCACACTCACAGCATCTCCCTCTACATGGCCTCAAAATTCCAGCCTCCTCTCTCTTATTAAGCTTTCCTAAGCCCTTAGCTTGCCCTAACTTCAGTTGTCCTCTTCCTAATCTTTTTCTTCTTTTTAATTCTCTGTGTCTCCTACCTCTGAGGCATGGAGCAGACCAACAATGGTGGACCTGCTCCGGGCACATGGGACACGGTGGTCCCCGTCCTTGAGACCTGACAAAGGGGCCTTCTTTCTAGCTTCAGGCTGCGTCTTGACCTACTGAAGGAAAACACTGGGCGTGCAGACTCTGGAGCGAGCTTGTAGGTTTCTCTCACTCTACTTGAACAGCTGTAATCCACTGTTCAAATAATCTTCTAGGTTGTTCCTTTGTATCTAAAAGTAAAAGATCACCGCCTACACAAGGGCTTCTGTCTGCCTGCATCAGTCTACTTTTCTCATGTATTTCCAGTTCCCACCATATCTTTTGAGTCATGTAAACCTCCCTTGGACTCATCTATATTTTTCATCTCTCAACAACGAAAAGCATGGAAAAGAAAACTCTGTGGTATCTTTCATCCTTTAAGACAACTTAAAGATCAACCTGATTCAAGAAGCTTTTTTTCTGATTAGCATCAATTACAAATGAAATACTCACCTCACCATGATGCCAGCCTCTAATTACATGTGGACACATTTGGCATCCAGACCCAAAACCTGAATGAGCATCTACTTGTATACCTGTGACACTCCCAACTCTGTCTCAAATTAGATTTCTCATTAGTTCTTGAACTTATTTTCCAGCTGCTTCCTCAATACTTTTGGCAGGTTCAGGCACACATACCTCAAACTCAGTACACGTGTGATGGAATTTAACACCCCACTGTCCCTTTCACATACTCCCTCACCATGCTCACCATCGCAGCATCTATCCATCCACTGAAACCAGCAGCCCCATCTCATAGACTCCTCTCTCCCCTACCCTCCATTTAATCATTCAGACACTCATTCAAAACATATGTACAAAGTATTTATGTGCCAGGCCCTGGAGCCAGATCTTGGGGCCAAAACTAAATGAGAAGGGGCTGCTGTGCTCAAAGAGCCATCTGGTCACCAGTGAGTTACTAAGTCCCAACAATTTTATGGTCTGAAAAGCTCTCACACACGTTCCTTGCTGCTCAAGCCTAATGTGGGTGACTAGGGCTACAGTGCCACCCACTCCTGCCTGATTCACAATGTCCTCCAGGGTGACTGCTCCTGCTGCAGTCAGCTTAACTCCAGTACAATCTCGGAAAACTCCAGGCTTTCCGAAACACACCTGTAATTTCGCTGCCTTGTTTAAATCCTTCAAAGGCTCCCTACATCCCACAGGAGCATGTTATCTGAGGCTTTTCATGATCTGATCCCCATTGACCTCTCAAGCCATTCCCCTGCACACACGGTAGTCACACTGATCTATGAGGGAAAGGGAGGAGGGACAGGGAAAGAGAGGAAGAGTGGGAGGTTTTCTCACACCTCAGACTTTTACATCTGCCCGTTTTTCCAGTTGCCCTAATTCCTGGGTACCCTTCCATACGGAGCTCAAGAATCACCTCCTCTGTGAATCCCTGAGTTCTAAGGGATGTCCTCTCCCAGTTCATTCAGCCCATAGCTTTCATGGCAGCCTACCAGTCCCTCTCTGGCCACTACGAACCTGCATCACAACTGCTTACACAGCTGGGCAGTGTGCACACATACACTGTGCAGTCACGGGGGCAAGGCTAGCCGCTCTGTGTCTCCCAGACATCTGGAGCAGGACTTGGCAATACACGTTTGCTAAATGAATGAACTGCTTCCTCTGTGTTTCTTTCTGAGACGATTAACTGTTGCTTACAATGGGACAGGTCCTTCCTTTGTCTCTGGAAATTCTCTGAATGGGTTTCTAACGATGAGATCCTTTTTAGGGATGGAAAAATAATTGTTACAGAATTAGCTGCATGTATGGCCTTATTTATTCGTACAACCTGCTACAGACACACTGGTCCTTCACCCAAACGCAATGCCTAACCTTCCAGCCACTCTGTCAGAAGAACAGGTACCTTATTCCTGACTCCCACACGTGCATTCATCCAACCAAATATCTGTTGAAAAGTTGGTCTACAGCATACCAGGTACCGCTGCAGGTGTAGATTCCTGCTCTCCTGGAACCCACATGCAGGTCGGATGAGACACACAAGCATGCTCACGTGTCGGTGGCGATGAGCCCCGAGAAGGAACATGGGACAGTGGCAGGAACCGGCAGTGCAGCTGCCTGCAGCTCGCTCTGCTCTTCCCCACGGCTCTCCCTAGTCCTCCAAGAGTACATCGCTCAGTGGGAAAGTAGTCAGCATTTACTAAGAATCTAGGTGTAGTCACTCAAGATCCCAGAAACAAAAAGAAAGTCGGCCCAGCCAGTGTGGTTCTGTGGTTGAGCGTCCTCTTGTGCACCAGGAGGTTGCAGGTTCGAGTCCGGTCAGGGCACAGCCCGAGCTGCGGGTTCGATCCCGGGTAGAGGGCGTGCAGGAGGCAGCCGGTCAGTGTTTCTATCTCCCTCTCCCTCCTCCTTCCTCTCTCTATAAACGCAACGAAAACATATTTATAAGAAAGTTAAGAAAGTCAGAACCGCAAACTTCAAAAAGCCCCCGTCCAGATATACACGCATGTCACAGCATTTCCGTAGCGCTCCGCGCCAGGCTCCGTCCACACTGCACAGAACCCGGGCTCCTCGCCCCGGCACCGGGGCCGCACGGAAGCGGGGCCGCGGACCCCACCTCCGCCGCCCCGCCCCGCTCGTGCCCTCCCTCCTCCCACCGCAATCTCCCTGCGGCCGCAACGCTACGAGCGAGGAGCAGCCGCACACCGCAGTGGGGACCCAGGACAAGACAGCCCGAGGAAACGCGGCTCCGCGTGCAGACGGGGCTCAGTCCGCGGGGCAGGGGACCGCCCGCCCCTGAAAGGACCGGCCGCCGCGACACGCCCGTGGGCCTCGGAGCGGGTCCCCCCAGCAAGCCTCGGCCCGGCCACTCCGGCTGCCCGCGACCGCCCCGCCGCCTCCCGGGCGCTCGAGGCGGAAGGAAACCTCCAGGGCGACCCCCGCCGCCGCCCGCAGACCCGCCCGCGCACCCCGCCTCACTACCTCCAGGCAGGAGCAGGGAGGCCGAGGCGGCGGCGGCTTGGGTGACCGGGATGAAGGGCACGTTGAAGCTGAACTCCGTGGCCTCGGACGAGAAGAGTAAATTGGTGCCCGACGAGGCGGAGGCGGCGCCGCCCCCACCGTTCGGCTTCCTCTCAGCCATGGCTGCGGTCCACCACCCGTTACACGTCGCCGGGAAGCCGATGCGGCCCCACCGGCCGGAAACCAGTCACACTCGGGGCCAGCACACTTCCGCACTTGCGCACAAAGGCCGGAACTCTGGGCAGCTGGACAGTGGCTCTCTTCCTGCCCCTGGCTGAGCTGGCGCCGCCCTAAAGTAACATGGCGGCGCCGGCGTCCCGCCCGAGTCTTAGCACGTGACACCCCCCGCGGCTGCGGGGCGGGGCGGGGCGGGGCCTGAGAGGAAGCGCTGAAGCCGGACCCCAGCTGACTCTGAACGTCACGCTTGCGGGAGGCGCTCCGGCCTTCCCCAAAGTGCGGACGGAGCGGTACCGGGCAGTCTGGAGAACAGCCGAGCCGCCGGCGCTGGTGGCAGAGGAAGAGGTGTGTGGGCCATTTGTAGCCGGGCCCAGCCAGACTCACCCCCTGGCCCCCTCAGCCACCACCTGCATGTTCTGGGCTGAATGTGAACTCGTCTTTGGCTCAGAAATAGTAAAACTTTTTAAGTTTTGAAGCCATGAGGGAAAAAAATGGTTTAAAAGAGAAAACCAGGTCATTGAAATATAGAGGTGTGCCATTAATTTTTTTTTCTTTGTTGATTTTAGAGAGGAAGGGAGAAAGGAGAGAGAGGGGAACACTGACGATGCCGCCTCCTGCACGCCGCCCACTGGGGTTGGGCCTGCAACCTGGGCAAGTGCCCTGACCGGGAATTGAACCTGGGACCTCTTGGTGTGCGGGTCCAGCTCAGCCACGGAGCTCAGCCACACCTGAGGGGGTAGGGGTGTGACTTTTTACACAGCTTCCTATATGGACAATAATCTGACTAGTTCATCCCCACAATGTGCTGTGGATAATGGAGATCTCATTGTCAATTTTCTTTAATTAATTATTTATTTTGTTATTTACAGCTATTCCTCCTTTTTCTCTTATTGTTACCCCCCTCACCTTCACCCTATTGTTGTCTGTGTCCTTTGGTTGTGCATATATTCATATAAATTATTTGGTTAATCTCTTCCTGCCCCCGACCAAGTTTGTTAGTCTGTTCCCTACTTCCATGTCTTTGGATCTATTTTGTTCATTAGCTTTTTTTTTTTTTTCTATTATATTCCACAAATAAGTGAGATCATGTGATATTTGTCTTTCTCTGATTGGCTGATTTCACTTAACATAATACTCTCCAGGTCCCTCCTTGTCATCTCAAAGGGTAAGAGGTCTTTCCTTCTTACAGCTGCATAGTTCTCCATTGTGTACATATAACACAGCTTTTTTATCCACTCATCTGTTGATGGACACTTGGGCTGTTTCCAGATTTTAGCACTATTCATAATGCTACTATGACCATAGGGGTGCATATATTCTTTCTGATTGGTGTTTCAGGCTTCTTAGGGTATATTCCTAGAAGTGGGATCACTAGGTCAAATGGCAGTTCCATTTTTAATTTTTTAAGGAAACACCATATTGTTTCCATAGTGGCTGCACCAGTCTGCATTCCCACCAGCAGTGCACTAGGGTCACCTTTTCTCCACACCCTCACCAGCACTTGTTGTTTGATGATTTGTTGATGGCAGCCATTCTGACAGGTGTGAGGTGATACCTCATTGTTGTTTTAATTTGCATCTCTCTGATGATTAGTGATGTTGAGCATTTCTTCATATGTCTCTTGGCCGTTTGTATGTCCTGTTTGGAGAGGTGTCTATTTAGCTCCTCTGCCCATTTTTTAATTGGGCTATTTGTCTTCCTTTTGTTGAGTTGTATGAGCACTCTCTATATATTGGAGATTAACCCCTTATCTGATGTATCATTGGCAGTGATGCTCTCCCAAGCAGTGTGTTGCCTTTCCATTTTGATGGTTGTTTCTTTTGCTGTGCAGAAGCTTTTGAGTTTGATGTAGTTGCATGTGTTCATTTTTTCCTTTGTTTCGGTTGCCTTAGGTGATGTATCAGTGAAAATTCTGCTGCATATGATGTCCAAAATTTTGTTGCCTACATTTTCTTCTAGAATTTTTCTGGATTCACATGTCACATTTAAGTCTTTTATCCATTTTGAGTTTATTCTTGTGTATGGTGTAAGTTTATTTGCATGTAGCTGTCCAATTTTCCCAACGCCATTTATTAAAGAGGCTGTCTTTACTCCATTATATGCTCTTGCCTCCTTTGTCAAATATTAATGGAGGATAATGTCTTGTGTTCACTTCTGGGTTCTCTGTTCCATTCCACTGGTCTATATGCCTGTTCTTGTGCTAGTACCAGGCTGTTTGATTACAGTAGCTTTGTAGTATAACGTGATATGTGGCATTGTGATCCCACCTACTTTGTTCTTTCTTTTCAAGATTGCTATGGCTATCCGAGGTCTTTTTTAATTCCATATGAACTTTTGAAGTATTTGTTCTAGTTCTGTGAAACATGTCGTTGGTATTTTGATGGGGATTGCATTGAATCTATAGATTGCTTTGGGTAATATGGACATTTTAATAATGTTAATTCTTCCAATCCAAGAACAAGGTATGTGCTTCCACTTTTTTATATATTTCTCTATTTCTTTTTTCAATGTCCTATAGTTTTCTGCAAATAGGTCCTTTATTCTTTGGTTAAGTTTATTCCTAGGTATCTTAATTTTTTTTGCCGCGATGGTAAATGGGATTGTTTTTTAGTTTCTCTTTCTGTGAGTTCATCATTGGTGTATAAGAATGCCATCGATTTTTTGACATTAATTTTGTATCCTACTACTTTGCCTAATTCATTTATTAAGGCTATTAGATTTTTGATGGAGTCTTTAGGGTTTTCTATGTATAGTATCATGTCATCTGCAAATAATGACAGTTTCACTTCCTCTTTTCCAAATTGGATCCCTTTTATTTTTTCTTCCTGTCTGATTGCTGTGGCTAAGACTTCCAGTACTATGTTAAATAAGAGTGGAGAAAGCGCGCATCCTTGTCTTGTTCCTGTTCTTAAGGGAAATGCTTTTAGTTTTGCCCATTGTGTATGATGTTGGCTGTAGGTCTTTCATATATGGCCATTATAATGTTGAGATATGATCCCTCTATTCCCACATTGCTGAGCGTTTTTATCAGAAATGGATGCTGGAATTTGTCAAATGCATTTTCAGCATCTATTGATATGATCGTATGATTTTTATCTTTCATTTTGTTTATGTGGTGTATCACATTTATTGATTTGAAAATATTGTACCAGCCTTTCATCCCTGGGATGAATCCCACTTGGTCATGGTGAATAATTTTTTTGATGTATTGCTGGATTCGATTTGCTAGTATTTTGTTCAGGATTTTGGCATCTGTGGTCATCAGGAATATTGGCCTGTAGTTTTCTTTCTTTGTAGTGTCTTTCTGTGGTTTTGGAATTAGAATTATGCTGGCCTCATAAAACGAGTTTGGAAGTCTTCCTTCTTCTTGAACTTTTTGAAATAGTTAGAGGAGAATGGGTGTTAGTTCTTTTTTGAATGTTTGGTAAAACTCCCCGTGAAGCCATCTGGGCCTGGGCTTTTGTTTGATTGGAGAGTCTTGATTACATCTTCAATTTCCTTAGTTGTTATTGGTCTGTTCAAGTTTTCTATCTCTTCCCAGTCCAGTTTTGGGAGACTATGTGTTTCTAGAAATTTGTCCATTTTGCTTAGATTTTCGAATTTGTTGCCATATAATTGTTCATAGCAGTTGTTAACAATCTTTTGTATTTCTGTGGTGCCAGTTGTTACTTCTCCTCTTTCATTTCTGATTTTGTGTGTTTGGGTTCTCTCTCTTTGTGTTTTTTTTTGTTTTGTTTTGTTTTTTTGTGAGTCCAGCTAAGGATCTATCAATCTTGTTTATTTATCTTTTTAAAAAAACAGCTCTTTGTTTCATTGATCCTTTGAATTTTTTTTTGGTCTCTATGTCATTTATTTCTGCTCTAATCTTTACTATTTCCTCCCTTCTACTTGCTCTAGGGTTTTCTTTTTGTTTGCTTCCTTATTCTTTAAGTTGTGAGGTTAGTCTATTAGAAATTTTTCTTGCTGCTTGAGGTAGGCCTGCAGTGCTATGAACTTCCCTCTCAGAACTGTTTTTGCTGCGTTCCATAGATTTTGTGGTGTTGTGTGTTCATTTTCATTGGTTTCCAGGAAGTTTTTAATTTCTTCCTTGATCTCCATGGTAACCCATTCATTGTTTAATAACATGCTATTTAACCTCCATGTGTTCAAATGTCTTTACATGCTCTTTGATTTCTAGTTTCATGCCATTTTGATCTGAGAAGATGCTTGATATGATTTCAATCTTCTTGAACTTGCAGAGATTTAGTTTGTGTCCCATCATGTGGTCTGTCTTTAAGAATGTCCCATGTGCACTTGAGAAAAATGTGAATTCTGTATTATTGGTGTGTAATTCTCTGTAGATATCTATTAATTCCATTTGGTCTAGTGCTTTAGACCAAATTTTAGAGTCTCTGTTTCCTTGCTAATTTTTTGTCTAGAGGATCTATCCAGTGATTTCAGTGGGGTGTTGAAGTCCCCTGCTATGATTGTATTGCTGTCAGTTTCTCCTTTGAAGTCCTCCAGGAGATTTTTAATATATTTTGGTGCTCCTACATTGGGTGCATATATGTTTACCAAGGTTATATCTTCCTGTTGGATAGATCCTTTGAATATTATGTAGTGGCCTTCTTTGTCTCTAGTTATGGCCTTCATTTTGAAATCTATTTTATCAGATATGAGTATTGCTGCCCCAGCTTTTTTTCCCTTTCAGTTTGATTGGAAGATTTTTTTTCCATCCCTTCACTTTCAACCTATGTGAGACTTTTGTTGTGAGGTGGGTCTCTTGTAAACAACATATAGATGAGTCATGCTTTCATATCCAATCAGCTACTCTGTGTCTTTTTATCAGAGCATTCAGTCCATTTACATTTAAGGTGATTATAGATATGTACTTTTTTACTGCCATTTTTGTTTATTGTGGTTTTATTTTTCTTCCTATTTCTTCTACTAATTACAGCAGTCCTTTTAACATTTCTTG